GATAGTTCACTGTGCAGCAAAACCTAAAGAATATAGAAATTAATACGTAGGAAGGGATGCTGCCTATTTGGGACTGGGTAAGTAGAAGAGGCTAAAAATAGCAGACTGTTAGCAGAAGTTAGAAAAGTGCTGAGATGACACTAGAGATGAAAATCCAGTAACTTGTATTTAGTAGTGGAACAGGTTACAAAACAGTTGTACCACCTCCTTGGAAGATGAAGAAAGTAGCTAATCAACCTTTGGGTTTGACTGAGAAATCTGCAGGCAAAATGTTAGAAGTGTTCCAGTTGTATGTGAGATCCTAGAGGAGGTTGGGGTGAGATAAGATAAAGAAATAACTGGCCAGTTTGAAAAAAAAATTGTAGGGAATATTGTAATCCATAATTTGAAGAGTTGGAAAATAAAACTATCTCTCATCAACAGTGTCACCAGCCTGAACCCCAAGATTAAATCAAGGATTAAAATCTCTGAAATAATGAAGGTGGCACCTAAAATATTTTACAGCTAGGGAAAAATAAAAAAAATAAAAATAAAAGGACTTCAGGAATCTTAAGACCGTGACTCTGCAGAAAAATTCCAAACTAACAAGAAGTCTAGAAAAAAGACGCTTTTTTTAAAAAAAAATTCAATTCATAGGAAGATCACAAAATTTTTATGAAGTATACATGTGAAAATACCACCAGCCTGGACTAAAAGGGATACAGATTGTTCCAGCTGTAAAAAGATTTTGGACTTCAACTTTCTATTGAAAAGAATCAGGTTCAAAAAAAAAAAATTAGCTAGCAAGTATGGGCTGCTTCTTCAGAAGTAGGTAAGAGATTGAGTGACAGGGAAGGATGAAAGGATGACGACTGGTGCAAACAATGGAGGACACAGCCACTTCCAAGAGGCTGTAGAGACAGATGATCAGAGAAAACACTCCCAGGAAGAAGAAGCTGTGTCTGATCAAGGAGCATACCAACTCCCAGGGTAGGACAATCAGCAACATGTTCCCACTTAGATCTTAACTACTGCAAATCAGTGACTGTGATGAACCTCCCACAACCCACTCCCCTCCTTTATTATAAAACTGACTCATATTAATTGTGTGAATCAATGCATTTCACTGTGCTTTTTCCATACATGCAGATATCATATTTTAATTTTATCTAACCTCCCTATTACCCTCTCTTGCCCTCCCCAATTCATTACCGTTTGGATGGGATTGTTGCTTGCAGTTCTCCAGTCTCTGTAAACACAAGTGTATGTTGGGTGTGTAGATCTTGTCCTTTTAGTTCATATGTCTGTTGATCAAAAGGAGCTACACCTAAGGAGCCATATGTGAATCTGATTTAGATATGCAACTCTGAAATTCAAGCTCAATGCCATTATTTATGAAAGCTTTTGAGGATACTGAAATTAGTGAGTAAAATGTGGGCTTTAATAGAATGGTTCTTATTTTCTTCCTGTCTTTTATCTACACCCTTTGAAATGTAGCCTTGAGAGCCTCCTAATAAGAGTTAAACTCTAGCTCTCTCTGTGAACTTGTTGACTTGGATCTGGTCAACAGATTGCAGCAGAAATTGTAGTATGTCAGTCTTGAACCTAGTCCTCGGTGGTCTTAAAAATCTCTCCTCTGTCCCATAAGAACAAGCTTAGGCTAGCCAACAACAGGTTATTGTGGTGTTGTTATTGCTCTAAATATAAACAATAACCAGTTCATGCCCCAACACATCAGATGAACCAGCTGACAACAGATACATAAGTGAGTCTAACCTATATTAGCCAGCCTGGGTGCAGATCAAATTAAAATCCACCTGATCATAAACTCATGATCAAAAACAAATACCTATGGCTTAAATCATTAAATTTTAGATGGCTTTGACACAGCAATAGTTCAGTGATACATGATACCAGAAGACTATAGTGAAAATGCCAAGATTTTCTATAAATTCTGTGACCTACCTTCTATTGTTTTTTAAAAAAGAAAATTTTATGCATATTGACCAATTTCTATTATTTTCAAACCCCTAAATCCCTAACTTACAAACTAATCACCTATCTTTCATAGATTGTTAATGAATAGTTTACAAAGTTGAAACATGTATATTTTAAAATATTATACTAGCATCAAACATATATGCATAAATTTTAGGGAGCTATTTTAGGAGCTAGCATGTCTACAGAGAAAAATTGTCTAGAATGTAATAATGATTCTATCACTTTGTTTCTCTTGAGTAAAATTATACTTGACAACTTTTAATTTTAAAATAATATGTGTTTTAGTCAGCTTTTTCATCACTGTGACCAAAAGACCAGATAAGAACAACAGAGGAGGGAAAGTTAATTTGGGGCTCAAAATATTGGAGGTCTCAGTCCATAGATGGCTGACTTTATAGCTCTGGGTCTAAGGTGATACAGAGCATCACGGTAGAAAGGCATGGAGGAGGAAAGCAGCTCAGAACATGAAAGGCAGGAAGCAGAGAGAAAGAGAGCTCCACTCATATATCTCAAAGTCACACCCTCAGTGACCTACATTCTCCAGTCACACCCACCTGCCTATAGTTAACACCAGGTTATCCATATCAGTGAATTAAGCCTTTGATCGAGTTACAGCTTTTGTCATTTAATCACTTCACCTTTGAACACTCTTGCATTGTATCATACATCAGTTTTGGGGAGATACCATGAATCCAAACTATATGTATATGGTTTGGATTATATATATATATCCAAGTTTATCTTTCTAAAATTATTTCCATCTCTCCATATGTATTTATATATAGATACATAGAATTGTGCTAATCAAATGTATGTTATGTTATCAAGATTTAAGGTTGCTATATTTGCAATATAGTAAAGCACAAATAACTCTAGTAAGTTTATTCAAAGAATCATTCAGTTCAGGTAGGACTAAGATTTACAAATTTTCTTTTAAAAAATACTGATTGAGCTATTAAATTAAATCATCATAATAAAACTTATAGCTCTATGAAATCCATGGTGACTCATATCAAAAATATTCACTGATGGAAAAACTCGTAAAATAAAAAGATATGGGGGCTGGGGATGTGGCTCAAGCGGTAGTGCATTTGCCAGGCATGCGTGCGGCCCGGGTTCGATCCTCAGCACCACATACAATCAAAGATGTTGTGTCCGCCAAAAACTAAAATAAATAAATAAATAATAAAATGTTTTTTCTCTCTCTTTCTCTTTAAAAAAAAATAAAAAGATATGTGATAATTTGGATGTGAGGTGTTCCCCAAAAGCTCATGTGTGAGACAATGCAAGAAGGTTTAGAGGAGAAATGATTGGGTTATGAGATCTTTAATCCAATCAGTGAATTAATTCCTGGTAGGGATTAACTGAGTAGAAACGGAAGGCAGGAAGGGTGTGGCTGGAAGAGGTGGATCATTGGGGGGCATGTCTTAAGGGTATATATTTTGTGTCTGGGGAGTGGAGTCTCTCTCTCTGCTTCCTAATTATCATGTGAGATGCTTTCCTCTGCCACACTCTTCCAACCACAATGTTCTGCCTCCCTTCGGGCCCAGAGGAATAGGGACTGAGACCACTGAAACCTTGAGCTCCCAAATAAACTTTTCCTCCTCTATAATTATTCTGGTCTGGTCTTTCAGTCACAGCTGAAAAAAAAAAATAAAAAGCTGACTAAATAAGAATTATACACTGTCAGTTTCCAAACTTTAGAAAGAAGCAACAAAAGATAGCATCATAATGTCATGCTTTTCCACTTTCTGTAAAATCAAAATATTTTAATCCAGTCACTCTTTTTGAACATTGCCTAATAAAGATAATCCAAAGAGGATATAGAACCACTACAACAAATCGCAGGTGATTCATAATTTCCTTCCCCCCTCTAAAGCTAGGGCTTATGACAATAAGATTTCTATTGAAGATTTCTCAGTAGGAACTTTATAATTGATTCGATAGAACAAAATAATAAATTCATAGCACAGCCTTAAAATATTAGTTGTGCTTTCTTCCAAATGAAATATTAATTTTGTTAATTAATTTTTTTTCAGAAATGATAATCAAGAACTTTGGACACACAGGAATTAATGTGACACTGAATTAATATCAAGTCAAGATCATATTTGGAATGGTTGCTAACCACAATTTATTTTAACTTACTTCCTCTCAAATTACGCTATGCCTTATAGTCTCCAGGCAAAATAAGGTCACACTCAGAATCCCAAAGTTATATTTTATATTGAGGTATTTACAATGTTGTGGGAACTCAAGTTTTCCCTCAAAATTTTCGCCAATATATCTAGGAGACTGTTAGTTAATGTTCCTACACATATAATCTAATGTTCTTAGTCACCATGTGGCTGTCAACCTCTTGTTGCGCTGTCTTGCTGTCATGTTATTTGCTGTCATCTACCCCTTGGCAATAAAAAAACAGCAGTGGTGATGCAGACAGTGTATCTAGGGCAGACAAGCAGGCTGGGAGGCTGAAGACATCTCTACCAGGCTGCTGGCCTGAGTTAGTTAGTCGTCCTGATGGTACCATCTCTTCAGATCTTGTCTACAAATGCTGCTAATGATATCTGATGTTTTCAAGAACTACTGGGGATTTTGGAGAAGTGGTGTTTTTAATGTTTGCTTTTAGCTTTTTTAAAAATTCTTTCATACATGACAATAATGGAATGCATTACATTCATAATTATCCATTCACAACACAATTTTTCATAACTCTGTATATAAAGTATGTTCACGATAAATTATGCCATTATACATGAGCTCTATTATTGATTTTTTTTTTGCATTACAATTCTTAATACACCTTTATACCACAATTTATCACATCTCTGTTTGTATATAAGGTATGTTGACACCAAATTCACATCTTCATACATGTATTTTGTATAATGATGACTGTCTCCTTCCACCATCCTTGCTATTCCCCTTCTCCCTCCCTTTCCCTCCCACCCCTATTCCCTATCTAGAGGTAATCTTCCTCTCCTGCTCTTCCTTCCTATCCCACTTTGAGTCACCCCCGCTTATATCAGAGAAAACATTCGGCATTTGTTTTTTTGGGATTGGCTAGCTTCGCTTAGCATTATCTTCTCTAACTCCATCCACTTACTGGTATTTGTTCATTCTTATTTAAGGGCTATATCCTAGAACTCAGTCTGGGGGCTGGCTGACTTGCTGGAAGCATCACATTCAGAATGACCTTTCACCTTTGTCTTTAACACAGTAGGCCTCAAATTTCTCTTCACCCATCATGTCTTTTTCCAGGAAACAGTACTGTTCGTCATATATATAATCCCCTAATGGGACCTTTATTCATTTCTCCAGAGAGATATAGAGAGGTCTTCATGCAAGAATAAAATAATAGCTTGGGATCAGGCAGAAACTACTCTGTTTCTGTAACACAGAAAATGGGAGGAAAAAAACTCTGACTTGTTTGGATGCTTTGTATTTCATGGAAGCAGATTTTTGTATGCAATAAGGCAAGCAAATGTCCTATAAAATCCACTGCTCATAATAAAGTCCATCTATCATGAGTTTATTATGTGCCAACCACTTCAAAGGGCTTTATATGAAGCACCCCATTTATCACATTTTTGGATGTAGAGGTTGAGGTTTCGAGGAGTGTTTAGTAACTTGACAAAAGTCAATAGTTAATCTAGGCTTGCTTGATGCCAAAACTCTTGTTCTTAATCACTGTGATCTAAAGCAGCAAGGATAGCTAGCTCCTACATTAAAAAACAAGATTATGAGAATGAAAAACACAATCTTCATACATTCATGGAGCACACCATGACATTCCCACTAATTCCTCAAGCTCTGCTAGACATTTGGAAAACAATGATAAATAGTACAGCCTATGCCTCCATAATATAAAACAAACAAGTACAACTTCTGTTAAAGAGAAGGACCTTGTTACAGTTCAGATATGGTGTGTCCCCCAGAAGCTCATGTGTGAGGCAATGCAAGAAAGCTTAGAGGTGAAATGATTGGGTCAAGGGAGCCTTAACCCAATCAGTGCATTGATCCTCCAATAGGAATTAACTGGGTGGTAATTATGAGCACGTAGGGTGTGGCTGGAGAAAGTGGGTCACTCAGACATGTCTTTGGGGTTGATATTTTGTCCTTGTTGAGCAGAATAGTCTCTCTCCGTTTGCTGGTGATCGTGTCCTGAGTTGCTTTCCTCTGCCACTCTCTTTGGTGGTGATGTTCTATCTCACCCTGGGCCCAGAGCAGTAGAATTGGCCATTTATGGACAACGACCTTTGAAACTGTGAGCCCCAAATAAACTTTTCCTCCTCCATGCTGTTTTTGACAGGTCTTCTGGTCAGTGATGAAAAAGATGACTAAAACAGAAATGACCTTGAAATCAAACTATCCTCAAATGGCCAGGAGATAAAGAAAGAAATATACTTCCTTATGTGCAAAACATGTGCTTCTTGAACTTTCCTGTAAGACAAAAACCAACAATCAACATCATCATGCTCTTGAGAGAGGCGCTTCATTGATGTGAGGTGCATCATGGAAAGGTAGCTGCGTTGCAATTTAGTACAATTATGAAGAAATACGAATTTTTAATGAAAATATGGAACTTGTGTTGATTAATAAAGAGGGCCATGTACCAAATGAAGAGCTCCCAGTGCATTACCAAAATAAATTCATTTGTATAATATTTTCTTTTCTAGCTAACTAATTTAAAGAATATATTATCAAGGGGGAAAAAGCCATATTTAAAATAAAACAGAACTCAAGGAATCTCTGGTTTATAGTCAGTACAATTCCTGAATACTAAAATGTCTTACTCTTCCACTTGAAAGCACTAACAAAAAAGAAAAGTCCGTGCTATTTCTCTGCTGCAGAGGTACTGGATATTACCTTCAGTCAGTGACAATGCATATAGTATCTGGAAGACTAATGTGCAAAATGGGACTTGGATGAGAGAAAGGAAATAAATTTATGTGATCTATAAAATAAAATTTAAAGAACTTTACTCCAATTCAGTAAGATTTTCAAAAACAATGACCAGGACTGGGGTTGTGGCTCAGCAGTAGCGTGCTCACCTAGCTTTTCCAAGCCCTGGGTTCGATGCTCAGCACCACATAAAAATAAGTAAATAAAATAAAGATACTGTGTCCAACTACAACTAAAAAAATTCAAAAAATAACAACCAAAGAGATATTTTCCTTGTTTTCTTTTGTACTTTAAGTAAACTATTCACATATTAGGAATAGGAGGGAATTTCCCAATGGCCTCAGAGACAAAGCTTGTGTTTCACATTCTTCCAGGGAGAAAAAGCGGCCTTGATATAATATTATGTCTAAAATTAGAACAAAGAGAAGAGGAAAAATAAAATTATTGATATAGAGGATCAGACTCCATCATAAAACCATTTTGTAAGGTTGACTGAGTGACTTATTGTGAGCAAAAATATAGAGCAAGCAGGGCTGCAAAAAGACTGAAGACTGCTCTACATTTTATGGTTTAATCATAGGTCTCTTCTGAAGAAAGGACATTAATTTCCCAAAAGGAAAACATAGCATAATTGGTTTTTATGCTATACAAGAAGGATAGGTGTCTGTTCACCCATTGGACTGGTTTTCATTTATATTTATACAGATACATTAAAATCATATATATTATTGGGGTACCATGTAATGTTTTCAAACAAATATACATCGTGTAATGTTTAAATCAGATTAAACATATGTGTCTCCTCAAATGTTTGTCATTTCTTCATGGTGAAAATTTTCAAAATCCTTGCTTCCACTTTTTCTAAATAAAGGCACATTATTATTTTATCTATAGTTACCTACGATGCAAAAGCACACGGGAACTTCCTGTTTCTGTCTAACTGATACTTAGTACACAAGGATCAAAGTTTCTCCATCCCGAAGTGCCACTCTCCCAAGACTCTGGTAGTCACCCTTCTCCCCTCATGAGGTCAGCTTTTAGACTCTACATATGAGTGAGATCATGTGGTGCTTGTCTTTTTTTTATTATGTAATGTTTTTAATTTATATATGACAGCAAAATACATTACAATTCTTATTACATATTTAGAGCACAATTTTTCATATCTCTGGTTGTATACTTAGTATACTCACACCAATTCTTGTCTTCAGACATATACTTTGGATAATAATCATCACATTCCACCCTCATTAATTACCCTATGCTCCCTCCCTTCTTCTCCAACCCCTCTGCCCTATTAGAGTTTGTCTATTTCTCCCATGCTCCCTCTCGCTATCCTACTATGAATCAGCCTCCTTATATCAAAGAAAATATTCGGGATTTGGTTTGGGGGAATTGGCTAACTTCACTTAGCATTATTTTCTCTAATTCCATCCATTTAACTGCAAATGCCATGATTTTATTCTCTTTTATTGCTGAGTAATATTCCATTGTCTTTATTAGGCTAGATCATTTCACTTAACATAACAATATCCGATTCATTCATGTTGTCACAAATGACAAGATTTCATTCTTTTTATGGCTGAATATTATTCTGATGGTTATATATGAAACATTTTCTTCATCCACTTGTCAATTGAAACTTTCTTTCCATTTCTTGGCTATTGTGAATACTCCTCAATGAACATGGGAGAAGTCTCTAACATACTGATTTAATTTCCTTTGGAGACATACCCAGGAGTGGAATTCCTGGATCTATTTTTAATTTTTTGAGCAATCTCCCTACTGTTTTTCCATAATGACTGAACTAACTTACATTTCTACCAACAATATTCAAGGGTTACTTTTTTTCCACATCCTTACCAGTACTTGTTAACTTTAGTCTCTTGATAATTGTCATTCCTACTAGGGTGAGGAGACATGTCATATTGGTTTTGATTCACATTTCCCTGATGATTAGTGATACTGAGAATTTTTCATATATTAGCCTTTAATATGTTTTCTTTTAAGAGATGTCTATGTAGGGCTATTGCACATTTTTAATTAAAATTACTTGTTTTTTATTAGCCACTGAGTTTGTGGAGTTTTTATGTATTCTGGCTATCAACCCCTTGTCCGATATTTAGTTTGCAAATATTTTCTCCTGTGATATAGGTTACCTCTTCACTTTGTTTATTATCTCCTTTGCTACATAAAAGATTTTAATATAAAAGTTGTCTATTATTGCTTTTTATTCCCCTGTGCTTTTGGGGTCTTGCCCAGGTTCTGTAGTGTACTCATTACTGTATTGGCTTTATGTGTAAAAAGTCCTTCAGTTTCACAGTGGCACCACAGGAGCCTATGTTTTCATGCTGACTTGATCAACTTTCATCACCAAATCTATTTCCTTTCTTGTAGATGCCTAAAATCCCACTATAGCAATTCAGTCCTTTGGATCTTATGAGATTTTTATTTTGCACCATAACGTTTGTGGCTTAACTTGTTGTGGTTTGTAATAGCCCTTGACATGTCTGAATTTCTCTTCATAAAACTTCATATTCATGTTTTGGATTAACATAGTTGAAATGATTGATTAAGGCACGGTGCAAACACAATTTTAAAAATCAGATATGAAAGTATAGGAAAAACTAAATTTTGAACAGAAGACAAGCTGACTTATAAGATCATGACTTAGAAGGTCACAACTCCCCTTGAAAGACATGAACTTACTCCATTTTTAGTTAACAAATCTTCAGGAAATAAATTAGGTATATTCTGATATATAAACCAATGCTTAAAAACACCACCAACAGGCAATTTCTCACCTACGAGGTTTTCTTTAGAAGCCTAAGTCAATATCTCCTTCAGAACAGCTTAAAAAATTGTTTTTGAATATCCACTAGGGACTAGCTAGTGTACAAGGCACACCAGGGAATACAAGATGAGAAATAATGTCAGCCCTCGGGGTCTCCCACTTAAATCCAAGTAGTTCTAAGGCAGCACAGACAGGGAAAAATGGAACAGAAGATCTACAAACAAAATGTTATAGAGGCATCATTACTTTAAAGTTGGGGCAGTGGAAAGACCTTGTACAGAAGGTAAAATCTGCTGAAAAGTCTACTCTGTACCAAACTAAGGTAGAAACTAATAGGCAATACTTGCCTATATGAAACCTCTCAGACTGTCAGGAAAGCCGGTCTTCAAAGTATTACAGCTGGCCAATGTGCCACAGTGATCCTATAAACAAGTACAGCACCATGGAAGGAAAGAGCACAAAGCACCTGTTCTTCTACAAGGGTTGGGGGTTAACCTGCCTTGAAACAGAAATGTTTTGCTGCATCACAAAGGGAGATGAAGGATATTCCAGGCAGCAGAGCTGGACTATCATGTAGTCAAGAACTGCTCTATAAGATGGGTGTGAGTTTCAGAGGAATAGACCATGATGAGCATTTCAAAGACCGAAGTTAAAAACAGTGGTTCCTTATTCTCTGCAAAAGAGCCCTTTATAAATTCGAAAACAGCTACTACTAATTCAACTTTCAATTTTCTTCCTGGATTGTATTTTCTGATTCTTTCATCTCAGCTGAGGCTGAATCCTCCCGCGTCTCCTAAATTCATCTTGAATTTGAAATTCACACTTCTCATGCTTCTGTAAAAGTCTTGCCAATCATGGTCTCCCAAATTCTATACACCATATGCTTATTGGCTCATTTTATATATAATATACTTAGTGGTGCATTTCAAGTCTGTCCTTTACCTGAATAGAACAGAGGAACTTCTCTGACTGCCAGGCTCATATGGTTTCACATTATACAAGTAAATATTTAATGGATATTTTCTATCATCAGTATACTCGTCCCATTGTTCCAAATAGCACAGGCTGTAGGATATTCCCAGAGGGCCACCACCACTGTTTATGAGGGTATCAGACCAAGTTATAAGCTACTCAGTCAACATGGAACTCTGGCTTGAAGCTTGTCTCCTTACCTACAGTTCTGATGGAATTTGTTGGCATTATCCACTATCACTTTGTTATTTTAAGTGCCCGTGTTATGAGTGTCCTCAGTAAAGCCTCTGCCTGGCAATTTATTTCATCAGACTCTGTGGTTCAAGAAGCTGCTAATGATTCCCTGGATTTATCATCAAAGATGATAAAGCACCTTCTACATGGGAGTTGGCTTCCCTCGGGGACCCTCCAGGCTATGATTTCTGGCCTCTAGTCCACTAGATGGTGATATCTCTTGCCTGATCAAGAAAAGTAGGCAGTACATAGAGTTAGGTACCACATGGTTTTTATACTCAGCACCTTGCAAATGCTGCAACTGTTTGCTGTTTACCCTTGTCTTAACCGTATCGTCATTCTAATTACTTGGTTCTAGTTTATGACTATTTTCCAAGAAGGTCACCCTCTTGTTTGTCAATTAATTTACTCATTCAATAAATGTGGAGATCTTAAAAAAGGAATAATTAGCAATATAAGGAAAATAAAAATATTTTAGTGGGACAAGCACAAGATGACAGCAAACTGTAAGGGTAAAAGACGGATGGTTGGATGTGAA